GCACGGCTTTTGATCTACTGGTGCTTCATGGGGAGTGGGGGAGTCAATATAGGTACCATTCTTGGTGTGTGTATATAGGGATTGTTATAATTGTAGTAATCCACTCCCCCACTCCCTTCAGCGCCGGTAAGTTGAGCAGTTGCGACTGGAGCGCTTCATCGCGAATTGAAGATTGCTGGTCTTGGAGGGCTAGCTTTCAAGGGACGGCTTGCGGCAGGGGTGTGGGTGCGGACCCTCAGCCTCGCAGCTAGACTGTACAAGGAGCTCTGTAAGGCAGGGCTTCAAAAGGACTGCAAGTATAGCGTCCCAAAAGAATGCAGAGCATTCCACTTCAGCAGTCCCAAACAGGGCCTCTGCATTTGATGGACCAGTTGGAATCCGAGCACCTGCGAAAGCTGAAAGCTTGCATTCCAGTCCCTCGCCACAAGTGCTGCACTGAAAGAGCTGCTGTGTGCCAGGGACTTCCGTCCGGCTATTCACCTCTCCCAGCAGGTGCCCAGCTAAGGCTCCAGCAGTACCCAGTACTAGTGAGCACGATGACCGGATACATTCTCCCTCGGCAGTTCCCAGGCAGTGCTGCCAATTGCCTGGCCGGCGGCGGAGAAGGGTCGACTTTCTCGAGCAGGCGCCTGGATGGAACCGGTACAGTCGATGTTCTGGGTGGCCGCTTGATGTGCTGCGGGGTGCCATCACTGATCCGCCACAGGGCCGGGCCTTTGCTAGAAGGCCGACGCCTTAATTTGTGTTCAAGCCCTCCGGCAGTGTTGGCAGATGCAGTCATTGTTTGCTGCTGCTGCCGCCACCGCCGCCGCTTCTGCCGCTGATTCCCTCGTAGCCTTTATCCCTGTCATCACCATGACAGACATCCATTTCCGAAGTCAAGTCTCTCAGAAGCTGACTGCAGGCATTATCGAGGTCGAAGTCCCAGGGGCAACGTTGACTGCCGGTACGTTCGGATCCCAATTGCAGCGCGCATGTTTCAGAGTGGGGTGCTCCTAGGACTTGTGCACTAATGCTGCAATGCAAGAAGGCTCAAAGCTAGCCGCTTGCTCAAGCACCACTAGCCATCATGCGAACAGATAACTCAGCGGCCACCAGATACCGTGGTACAGAAAGATCAGAAAGAGATTCTCTCTGCCAAGGCATGTGTAGGATGGCCTGCTGCTGCCTAAAAGAAGGCAGAGAACCGCGAAGTGGGACATTGGTGACTTCCGCCTCTTGACAGAAGATGATCGGCAAGCTGGAGAGGAAGTGGTGACAGTGATAAAGGAAATCCTTCCCGACATCCTCACCGACAATCTTCGCGATCAACCTGATGTTTTCTCGGTAATTGCAGAGCGATTCCCTGCACAGAGGATAATAGGACCCAAGCAGTCTCCGCTGACCATGCGCCAAGAATGATGCCAAGCCGAAAGCCTGTAGCAGCTCAGCATTTGTTCTGTAAGGTAAATATGTTGGTGATCACGTTGCAGTCTCCCGAACGTTCGGGTCCCGAAAGCACGGGTGACCGCAACGTGATAAGCAAGGCGGAGGGCATCAGAGGGCATTGGTGGATGATCCGGACGTTTACAAGGTAGACATCGACGGCCAAACTGCCTTCTTCATCTTCATGTCCGATGCAATCTCGGAATTATAATGTTTTTACATGTACGTGTAAAAAAGCAATATTTTTACACGTACGTGTAAAGAACATGATAATTCATGAAGCTCTGTGATTGCTAGGAGGAGGCACTTGGCACAGATCACATCCAGTTCCAAATGTTGACATGATGCCCGCTAGCAATTGTTCATCAAACGTAGTTTCCAGTCAAAAGGCGCTGAACCAAGCGAGGCTACGTTCAGGTGTGGTGAGTACCTGGGTCACTGGAGATTTTGTGGGATTATCCCACTGCTTTCTGATCCGCACATTCACAGTCTGGTCCAAAACAAGCTTGATTCTGCAAAGTGCGCGCTGCGCGCTCATACCCTGCCTTCTTCATCTTGATTTCCGATGCAATCTCGGAATCCCTCAAGGCCTCAAGGACCACTTCACGGCTCACAGTAACCCATGCACGAAGAGCACTTCGCACCACTGAACCGCCGGAGGATACCGTTGGAGGCATTCCTTTGTTAAAGATCTGGGTCATGGTGCCAAAACGTGCTCCGGCATGGTTTGGACGTGCAGTTGGGTCTTTCAGGACATGCGAGCTACATCTTGAGACGTAGAGCTAGTCACCAAGTTGCACTGAGCCAAAACAGCCCGCAGCGCTGCACGTGAGCACAAATACTGAGGGCATGGGGCCACGTGCGGCTCAGGAAGTATGCTTTGGGCATTCAATTTCACATTCCGGCTGGCCTTCCCTATCAGCTTGGGCCTTAAGAAGAGATGAGCCCTGAGTGCTTTTGGCGTGCAGTCTCAAGAGACCCACATTCCTCAAGACGATCTGAGGAACACCTGGTTCCTCGCGGTCGGCAGCCAGGTGGCGTCCTTTGAAGGACAGACCTGGGTAGTAGTTTTCCTAATTTTTTAGAGTATTGACCCCTCTGCCCGTTGTTCAAGTGCGTTGACGCTTAAAGGTCGAGGGTGCGGGTTCAGGGCCAAAGCTATGGGTCAGATTGCAAGCACTAGGATTCAGAGCTTGGGTAATTAGGGCTTAGGGCTAGGCTTAGCACACCACAGGAGCGTTAGGGAAAATGGATGAAATACCTGGCTCTTGTCAACAGTCTTGGGTTGAAGCGGCTGAAGTGGTCAAGTGGCCAATATCACTTAGTGTCTGGGTTGCCTCACGCCCTCATTTGCATAGGAAGCCAAAAGGAACCCAGAAATGTTGAGAGTGTCCACATGCTGGAAGGAGTTGATCTCATGCGCGTGGAAACGGCTGAGGTCTTGGCAGGTTTCCCAGGCACGGGATGGTTGCATTGCAACGGTTGCATGTGGTGCCATGAAATGTCAATCGGGAGCAGAACTATCATGAAAGGTCCAGACAGATGGATGTCGACTTAGTAAGTAAGTCTCTGCCGCATGCCGTAGAACGACCCGGCTATTGCAGATGGGTCCGCTGTGATGCGAACTTTCCGGGAGATTAATTCGTGCGAACACTTGTGGCACGGAATCCGAAAAACTGGGCTTAATTTCAGCAGCCCTAAGATGTTTTGGGGGGGCCTCCCCACACTGAACGGGAACCTACATCGATCCCAGAGCTGCCCTCCATGCAGCTATCTGCATGTTTCCCACATTTGCCTGAAGCTTTCCTGCTAAGAAGCTATTGCCTGACTGCACTGAAAGCAATTCCGTTACAGAGAGCCAGTTTGCCACAATGCTGCTAGTAGCAGCTAGCTCGTGCACTGCAAACAGTCATGAGCCCCCTCAGGCCCCAGTAGCATCAAATGCCTTGGTGTGGGCGGCTTCCTGATCCTTTTTTGAGTGGATGTGTGCACTATTGTGGCATTTTTGCAATTGCGCCTGTCGCGGGGTAAATCGAACTGTCTTGTCAAGGCTTGGCTTTGTCATCGTCAGGGCATTGGCCTCAGACCTTCCTGGCTATCAGCATATTTGCTCCGATTAAAGCCCAAGAAGCCAGGCACGGTTTCAGGTGAGTAGTTGGCCAATGGTGATAGAGCGCCGTGAGGTTTCAGATTTCAGGGCGTGAAAAGCCAGATTTGTACTGCTTGAGATGACTTGTCGGGACGGCTGTTGTTGCTGAGAGTGTGTCGGTGGATGTCGGTGGAATCACAGGCAAGGTGTTGAGGCCCCCTAGCAAGGGTACCCACCTGATAACTACCTGCATATGATGGAACTCTTCTTGAATGAAAGAATCCAAGAATCAAAATGGTGGCCTCAGGCCTCTGCCCTACAACGACATTGAACTGCGTCTCACATTCGGGGCCAACGTCTCCGTGCGTCTCTCGGTCACCTCCTTATGTCGACAGAGAAGCAAGCTCGTTTCTTGCTCAGGCTTCGGCTATACTTCTGCTCGCCATTCCGTCGGTGTTCGTTGTTGCTGCCCAGGAGACTGGCAGCAAGCTGACATCACCCCGTGATGTCCATATTATGTTCATGTCATATGGATCATGCCTCAAATTCCACCCAGCAAGTGCCTCCAGCCCTTCAGCACCTTGAAATGTGGTAGCGGCCGAGAAGTGCTCTCCAGGACGTCGCTGGGATCTCAGAAATTGGAAAGCCAACTGCCAACCGTGGGGCCGCTGGAGAGAGTCTGTCAAACACCTGCTCTCCTTGGAACCTATATAAATATACCCTATGATAATATAGTTGTTTCCATTTTCTTTTCCATTATCCCAATAATATATATATATACATATGTAGTATAATAGGGTGTATACATATATATATATATATTGAAGTTATAGCCTCGAAACATTTTAGTCAAGTCACAAGTAGCGCAAGTAAGCGATGTAAAAGGGTTTCTCTATGGTGGGTTAGGTCAGTGAATGCCAATGCTCACCCGTAATTAGCGAGCGACGCCATGGCGGCAGCTGCCGACGGTGGCGCTGAGGAGGTGCTTTTCAAGCCTGCTTGCAGGGCACTAGCATAGGATACTTTCCATCAACGCCTTACTCCAACAGGCCCTTGGCGAGAAACCAGCCGGCCAACCTGTGGGGCTTGAGCTTCTTGGCTGGAACGCGTCATTAAGAACAGTAGCTGTAGCAGTAACATGGCAGAACAAGCGTGCAAGCATTATTGCTAGTTGACAATGAGCCTTCAGGTCGGCCGGTGCTGAGGCCACAGGAGTCCCTGGCATGCAAGATCTGAAAGCTTTCATGGTTGCATTTGGCAAGCCAGCACCAGCGCGGATGTTGAATCCAGATTCTTTCCTTGCAACAGAACGGTACAGCCATGGTGCCAGCATACAAGCTTGCAGATGAAGTCCTTCAGCGAAGGTGACATCAATTTCAGGCCACGAGCCTGAAGAGCCTGAAGAGCCTTCAGGTCAAGGCAGCTGCAAATTGTTTCAGCCTGCTAAAGTTAAAGTTGCAGGCGCAGCTCTTCTGTGTGTTGCGAGGCACCCCGCCAGATGCCCAGCCACAAGAAGCCGAGCAACTTGCTTCTCCAACTCAGAAATCAAGGGAGAACGAGGCTGGCTGGTCCGCGATGCTAGAACAGTTGAACGCGTGACATTCACGCTGGCCTGGAGGCTGTGGCGCGGCCAGCAGAATCTGATGAAGGGCAAGCCGCTGAAGACTCCAAAGGCCTTCGTTTGATTTTGCCAGAAGTGTCACGACATCAGGAAGCCTGTTGATTGCTTGCTTGATTCAATTTGGACCTATTAGATGCAACTCCACAAGGAGCAGACGCATCTGCTGCTCCAGCTGAGAAACCCATCGATGAAGAGGCCAACGTTTTGTTCCAGTCGCATCATGGCGTAGCATGAACTCATCAGTAGAAAGTCGGATTCTGAAGACGAAAAGGTGAGACAAACCAGTCCAGGGCCAGATGCAGCGGAAGATGCTGCAGGATTGCCCGCCCCCGCACGACCCCATAACAACAGCCGCCGCCCACGAGTGGGATGACATCCGTCCGTGATATTTTTTGCTGAGCCTGGTTAAGGGGATGTTTGTCTCAATCCACAACCCTGACCGTCTTCCACTAATTCATCGCGCATGTTCTAGGCATCTGGCAAGTGGGTAGCGAAGCATGGTGACCTGCAACCTCTCAACTGGGATAGTGGGTGTTGTCAGTGTCAGGGTTTGCAATATTGGCTTGCCTCACCGCTTTACCACTGCTGTGAGGAGCTGGGTCACATGGAGCTGCCCAAAGCTCACGTCCAGCGGAGACAGCGCAAGCCGTGCCTTCAAGCGAGATCGAAAAGGAGGTGTCTTCTGTTCATTCTGGTGTAATGTCTTCACGGACAGAATAAGGTTCCGTTGGAGCTCAAGATATAAGGCACCCGCAATGATGCCCCAGGAGAAACCAGATCTCAGACCGGCAGAGGAGCCGCCGGAAGGCCAAAGCCTTCCTGCTCGAACTGCCCAAAGTTTGGCAGGCAAGCACACAACAATTTCATGCTGGCATGTCAGGAATCGACATCCCCCAAACTTGTGAAAGGAGATCCCAGCCTCAAAATATCTCTGCATCAGGGGCAGATGGGCGGGGGTGGGGATCCGAAAAAAACTGCGGAGTTATGCAGCTTCAGACCTTCACGGAACCTTGAAGTTCTTATAGCGTTTACCATAGGGGATGATTTTTCTGTGACCGCAGCCCACTTTGAATGCTGTCCGTGCTTGCCTTTGAAATGTTCTGTAGATTCAAGGTTAGAGCTCGTCATGTAGTCCAAAATTCATTCACGGGCATCTTGAAGCAGAGCTTTGCAAAATTTGGCTGGCGGCATCCCCAATCTTGCCAATCTCCCTTCATCTCCACGTCTAGGGCGGGTTGGAAGACAGATTCTGTAGGGTGCTTGGCAAAGAAGTTGTAGAAAGGCACTAGGAAGCCTGTGAATTATTTCAGGTCACTCTATCACCTCACGCACGAATGCCGTAGAGTAAATCAGAGTAAGGTTCGCATCTATAGCCACGAATTGAGTCGAGTCGTAGCTTTCGCACGAACTTCTCGAAGTCTAGCCCCAAGGCATATCGTTGCAGACATCCACCATGGCATAGGCTACCACGGGTCCGCTTGTCACCACTTTGGATGTGTTGCAGGATCAAAGTATCAGTGCCTGAAGGGAGGAAGTTTGCTCGCATGAACGGAAACAAGATACTCATGTCACCCCCAGTGATCTTCTTCATCACAGGCTTTTGCGTTATTTTTTGCTTGTGATCACTTTGAAGCACTGGTGTGTAAAGTACATAATCGCTCTGCAGGTACTGAAGCGACCGGAATCCAGGGTTCCCGTCGTCCTCCCGACATGCTGAATTGAAGGAAGATTTGAAGAGTTGATGAACACGTGGAGTTGCAAGAAGGTTTGAAGAGTTGATGAACACGTCGAGTTGAAAGACGACTTGAAGAGTTGATGAACATGTTGAGTTCAAAGCAGACGTGAAGAGTTGATGAACACGTGGAGTGGAAAGAAGATTTGAAGAGCTGATGTGGAGTTGAAAGAAGACGTGAAGAGTTGATTGATACGATGAGTTGAAGGAAGATTTGAAGAGTTGATGAACACATTGAGTTCAAAGCAGACGTAAAGAGCTGACAAACACGAGTTGAAAGAAGATTTGGAGAGTTGACAAACACGTTGATTTGAAAGAAGACGTGAAGAGTTGATGAACAAGTGGAGTTGAATGAAGACGTGAAGAGTTGACGAACACGTCGAGTTGAAAGAAGACGTGAAGAGTTGATGAACACATTGAGTTGAAAGAAGACGTGAAGAGTTGAAAGAAGACGTGAAAAGTTGATGAAAACGTGGAGTTGAAAGAAGACTTGAAGAGTTGAAGAACACCCTGAGTTGAAAGAAGATGTGAAGAGTTGATTACATGTTGATTTGAAAGAAGATTTGAAGAGTTAACGGACGCGTGGAGTCGAAAGAAGACGTGAAGAAGTCATGAACGCGTTAAGTTCAAAGAAGACGTGAAGAGTTGATGGACACGTCGAGTTGAAAGAAGGTTTGAAGAGTTGACGAACACGTTGATCTGAAAGAAGACGTGAAGAGTTGATGAATATGTGGAGTTGAAAGAAGATTTGGGGAGTTGATGAACATGCGGAGTTGAAAGAAGATTTGAAGAGTTGATGAACAGAGTGAATTTGAAAGAAGACGTGATGAGTTGATGAACATGTGGAGTTGAAAGAAGACTTGAAGAGTTGACGGACACGTTGAGTTGAAAGAAGACGTGAAGAGTTGATGAACACGTGGAGTCGAAAGAAGATCTCAAGAGTCAATGAACATGTTGAGTTGAAAGAAGGATTGAAGAGTTGATTATCACGTTGAGTTGAAAGAACATGTGAAGAGTTGATTGACACGTTGAGTTGAAAGAACATGTAAAGAGTTGATGAATACGTTGAGTTGAAAGAAGATTCGAAGAGCTTATGAATACGACGTGACGAGTCCTCTGGCTTGAGCAGTTTGAGCCAGGTGTGGCGGCTCTTCGAGTTGACCCGAGAGTAAGCGAGCCATCCCCTGAGGCTGAGAAGGCTGCTGGTAGCATTGTAGCATTTTAAGCAGCTCAGCTTGTATTGTACCGAAAGACCCTGGCCCTTGTCTCTGTGCTGCAGGCAGCCCATCAAAGAGAAGTCAGCACATCTCTGAGCAGAAGCAGGGCATATCTTTCAAGAGGTGGGAAGACGACAGCCTTGATTAGCACTTTTTGGCATTCGGAAGAAGAACAACTCTGAAGACGCTGTGGAAAACTATTCTTTTGCGGCCTGCTGCCAGCGCAGGCTCCAGTGAGACATCACCCCAGGAGCCGCTGCTGCAGGCAGGTTTGTTGACATGCTTTGTGGCAAGACTTTGAGAGCCTTCGGAAAGGCGCCGCTAGCAAGCTCAGCGCCGGAAGACATGCCTGTCGTCGTCACCAGAGAGGAGGCTGCAAGCTAAGTACATGTTCTACTTTATCTCGCCATGGCTTTGGGATTTGCAGGGCTGGGCTGTCAGGGCCCACATTCACTTGCAGCGAATAGGTCGTGTGACACCCTGTATCTGCTGTGGTACAGATTGCACATCTCATTCTGCAGGTGGCAGAAGCTATGGAAGACATGCGCCGGTATGGTGCTTCTCTGGTTCGGCCTGTTGCTGAAGCTATGGAGGCCACACGTGCCCATGGCGCAGTGGCTCTTGAGAGAGGCCTGGTCGTACTTTGTGCGTGCTGTTGCATGCGTAGTTGCATTTCATTGCCTTGCCGGGAGGTGCAGAAGCTGCTAGCGAGGCGCGCCGCCACGGCAATGCAGCACTGCGTTCGGGAGTGGAGACAGCGGAGGCACCGTCGAGGTTTCTAGCCTTGGCAGGAGAAGTGCACAATCCCAGCGTTGCCAATGCTCTCTGAAACACAGGCGCTGCGGAAGGCAGGTGCCCAAGCCGCGCAGACCAGCGCCGAGATGTTGCAGCAGGGCACGGAGGCTCCATGATGGGAGCAGATCGCTTGGCATTGCAAGCATCTGCGCAACTGCACTGAATTCTAAATTGCAGAATACAGGAGAGCTCAGCCTCCTCTCATGCCAGAGCCCAGCAGGTGGCACGTGCAAATTGGCAGCACGGCGCTGAAGCTTGCCAGCGCGGGCTGACCGAGGCCACTTCTGTGATGAGAAACTTCTTGCGGGTCTGTCTTCTGCAAGTGGCAAGGCCTCTGCAGCTTGGAAACGCGCCGCGCCCTATTTGGACAAGGCATCTACTCAAACTTGCGCAGTGAGATTGCATGTTTTGTTGAGCGAGCCCAAGGGGTAAACCGAAACAAAAAATCATGGAGTTTATCCGAATTTCTTGTCTGCACTGCTTCAGGCCATTTTGCTCGTCAATGTCGCCTGCGCGCTCATCATCGGAGGCACTTAGCACCTGCACTCTATGCAAATCCATGCAGCGGTACTTGGTCCGGCTTCTGCGATTGGCCCGAAAGCGCTTCCATGACTTCTGTTCTTGAGTGACAGCTGCTGCGCTGGCATAGAAACAACATTGCAAGATAGTTTGTAGCCGTGCCAAGCGGGTGCTTTACGGAAGTACGGCAGTGGTAATTACCTGCAACACAGACCATCGCCCACACAGGCTTCCTCACGCTGGGGGTGATGCTGGTCTGCATGCCGCTGAAGCCATCAAGAATGCACCACGGGGCGTTCGACCGCATGTTTTGGGTTACCCAGGCCTGACAAGAACAGCCCTTTCCGACTGTGGTACAGCACATTGACATTCAAAGGACATAGCCTGTGCACTTACAAGTTCTCTTGGCCTTGTGGCCAGCAATTTGCCAACCTGCACACAGCAGCAGCACGCTTGGACAGTTTGGAACGGACTGTGGGCTGCCGCGGGTACGGCATGCTAACGTGTAACGGCGCCAGCTTGAATGCCTGCAATCTGTGGAGAGGGCCTCTACCTTGTGGCTTTCAGCGTCCCTGCCCTGGTGGCCACAGTGCAGCACCTTGCCTACATTTACCAAAGTTAGTCTGCAGTGCATGTTGCTTATGCATGCTCATGCCTGTGTGCTAAGCGTTCCGTGCTCCAAATTACATGTCACAAGAAAATTCTGAACCTCTGCAGAGTACATTTCGACATGTGTGGCATAGTTCCGTGCAGGTGTGGGATTCTGCGCGAAGGATTTGATGGCTGGCCTGCGTGGATGCGGGTTGAACTTTGGCTTGGCATTTTGACACTCGGCTGGCTTGATATACCTCCTTGTAAGAGCCTTATTGATCCGTCATGCCTGCTTTTGTGACATTGCCGCATGCCTTAGAACAGCAAAACCCATGTTCAGGATGGCAAGTGCGACGGGCATGTTCAGCTGTAGGATGTTCTTAGCCGTGACTTGTGTGAGCTTTATGCCTGACTGCTCGAGGAAATTCCAGGTTGGAAGGGCAATCTTTTTCATTGGAGCCACTGAGCTGCAAGCATGCCGAACGTTGCACGTGCTTTTTCTAGAAGCCAGTGCGTAGAGTAGAGGCCGACCAGTTCTCAGTTACGGAACTGCTACGTACTGTTGAGTATCAAGCGCCACCACCCAGGCAGGGTTTTATGTCTTCCCCCTGATGGCAAACTTCGGGCTCATGGCTGACGTGGAGCTTTGGACGGTCATCTTGTCCTACTTTCTAGGCTGGGAGTGATTTTAGTGGTACTGGTAACCAGCCTTCCAGATCGGAGCCCGATATGTTCAGTCAGGCATACTTTCGCTACTTTCGGGCAGCTTTCTGCTGATTTTCGAAGGCTTGCTGTCCGTGTGCCTTGGCTTCATGCCAGTGCGCACGCTGCACCCTGTGCTCTCCCTCACATCCATACATCAGCGGATGGGCTTGACTAGGTACGTTCGGCAGGCCCTCTACGACAGGGTCCCGCAAGGAGGGCCATGATCGAAGCGATGCTAGCTGCCTGCGCTGGAGGATGTCAACTGTTTCGTTTGATGCCTCCAAACTCTGCCAAAGTTGCAGCACGAGAACAGCAGAAAATGGTCCGTGAAGATGCTGCCAGTAAAGGGGCGATTACTTGGGAGCGTTCGGAAATCAAGGGACCTTTCCCCTCTTTGTCAAGTAGCGTTCTATCGGGGCTTGTAGCGCCCTTGGGCCTTTGCGAGAAGAAGAGCCAGACTGGTTGGCCGGTGAAAGCACTCCAAAGCACTAGACGTAGCACCAGCGCCAGCAGCAGCAGCAGCAGCAGCCGCAGATGCGATCCGCGCTAGGCGCTGTAGTTTTCTTAAACAAAAAGCGGCACGCGCAGCAGAAGGTCGCGCACAAAACCACCAGCGAGTCGAACTTGAAGGTCCGCAAAGCCATGGCCTCCCAATACCACACGAAGCCTTCTAACCTGTCGAAATCTGTTGCTCCAGGATCTGACAAAAATGCGTTGTAATCTAGATACAAGACCTTAATATTGCTGGGAGAACTCACAACTCAAGATACTTGCAACAGAACACCTCCTCTCTTGCTTTTTGGGCCTTGACGTGCGCCAAGAAGGAGAGAGGTTCGAGGGCCTGCCAAGTAGATTTAGAATTAATCTGTCTTGCTCTATGACATCCTGGCGGAGCAGGATAACGCGTGATGTAGGCAGGTCGACGCATCCTAACAATTGATTTGCATCTGAGGTGTGCGCTCCGTTCCAGAACTTCTCTGCCTGGTATCAGGCGTGCTTCGCACCGTGCCTTTCCAAAGCCTGACTGGTACTGTTAGACTATGTTGCATTTGTATTCAGTGACCTCATCAAGCCCTTGCAGCTGCTTCGCTTCATTCTTGGAAGTGACGATGCGACGCATCGTAGATTCAAAGGGCTGGCAAATGAGACACGCTACAAGCCATGCGCATTGTACACGTGTTGCTTTCAATACATTATTTCCCTGATGTTTCTTTCTAGTTTCCTGAAGCTTTCGATTCAGCTGCCGTGACTCCCTGCGGTTGCCCCCACTACAGAGTACAGCCCTCCGAGATCAGATCATCCGGAACTGAAAGCACGAAGCCATAAAGCACTGCATCTCTAGAAGACTCCACCCTAAACTTGCTTTGATGTCGATGTCCACGAGTAGCCCGGACATTGATGCGGAAGCGCCCATTGGCGCGTTCGACGTTGAGCTGCCTCACCAAGGCAAGTGTTCTCTCTGCAGCTGCCCAGAGGTCAGAGGCAATGAAACTGCAAGCGGAACAGGCCCAGAGAGGGAGCATGCGGCCACGGAGCCTCTGTCCTTTATGGTGGCGCGGCTCTCCACCATCCACGACAAGCGTGTGCAGGCAGCGGCCAGCTCGGCCAGCTCTGGGGCTTTCTCCAGATTACCCTTCAGTTCTTTGCAGGCTTTCCAAGCGGCCAAAGATGATGCCGTTGCCAGGAAGCGCTTTAGCGCCGTAGCTGCTCGGAGCAGAAGAGGGAAGGGTTTGTCGGTATGCCCGTTCGGTGTGTGAAGCTGAGCATCCGCATCCCAGGTGGCCCACCCCTTGCGTCACTTTTGGCAGAAGCCGCAGCTCCGAAAGAAAACAGCCGACCACCAGGCTGAGGGGAATCTTCAGAATTTGGGTATGAGTATGCTGTGCTGCGCATTCGCCAATTGCAAAAAGAGACTCCTGAAAAGGAGCATGGGGAGATCCACGAGCACCTGAGCTGCCGAACTGTTTAGATTTCCGGGGCAGGTTACCACAGTTGCTATTTGATTTTGCCTCCTGTCGGCAGTCTATGAGCTGTTGGCGGATGCGTCTGAAGATGGCACGTAGTGGAAAATCAGCTGTTGGCGACAGGAACCATTTTTGAGCTGAATGCTGATGGCCTGCGTCCCCCATACCAAGTAGTCGTTGTTCTGCGGGAGAAATAGCGCTTGCCCTGCAACCTTCAGGCACTGGATTGAGCTGTTGCCTGGCGGCAAGGATTTCCCAGCACGGTCTGATGAACCAGTATGGAGCTTCAACTTCAAAACAAGGTTCAATGACCTCGTCATGGTGGCGATGCTGTCCAATCTCAGCCACGTCTTCGAGAGCGGCGGCAACACGGTGACCAGCTCACACAAGGTGCACAGCATCTCCTTGTTTGCTTTTGTTGTCAAAGGTCGTGAACCATGTCTCCATGATTGTTCTCTGGATTATCATGATACAGTCGCTGCATGCCGTTTCCTTTGCCACGATCTCAGTGCTGGTCTGCAAACTGATGCTTTCTGGGCTTTTCTGCTTTCTTGGCTTGAGGTTGTGAACATGTGGAACATGGACGATCTGTTCACATTACTTTGTTGCTTCGCTACGACTGTGGGCTCCGTCTGGATGGCAGCCGCAGCTTTGTCCTTAGAGTGAAAGTGCCAGCGCGATGTCTCAGCAGAGAAGGACAGGAAAGGGCACCAAGTGTAATTCAACACCTGCCTTCAAAGCTCTTTTCAAACTGTCCGGTGCGCATGCATCCAGTCTGAAGGTAAAATTGGATGCGTGCGCACCGGACAGTTTGGACAAAAAGCTGCGCAATCTTGCTGGGCTGTATGCAGGAACTTGTAACAGTATTCCCCACATGCTTTGCGGGGTTCTAATCTTTACTGCGAGCATCCGGCAACCCAACCAACCACCGCCCGACCGCCCATGGTATGGTCCCCCCCTCCCTGCCCCAACCTCCCAAAAGTGCCAACAGTCAGACGGTGGGGGCCTTCGAGGTCGCGATCCTCGTAACTGTCGTCGTTTTTGACGCCTCAAAGCTGCCATCCTCTTAACTGTCGTCATTTTGGACTCCTCGTGCTTTCGTCGCGTGTCAACAGTCCCAACAGTTACAGGGATGGGACCCCCTGCTGTCACGATCCTTGTAACTGTCCTCACTTTTGAACCTCCGTGTGGTCTTGGCATTTGAAACTGCCAACAGTCACAGGGAAGGGGCCTCCCCGGTGCATCCTTGTAAGTATCGCAACTGTTAGACCTTCGTGCTGTTTATACCTGACGCTATAGCTTTACTTAGGCTCTATCGTAAGCAGGACCACCAGAACCACAGGACTACAGGGGGGGTCCAGCACGGCATAGGTACCACGCACGGGGGGAGAACCCAGCATGACAGGACCACAACAGCCACAGGGTCCACAGGAGAGAGGAGCAGAACGACATGGACAGGACCAGTAGAACCACAGGGACCACAGGGCGTGGGGGGAGAGAATCATCAACAAAGCATAGGTAGGAGGGGGGGGTTACCCCATCGGGACCCCGGCTCTCCTTCCTTTAAACTTCTCTTCTACAGCCTCCCTGCGCCATCGCGGGACCGCGGCTCTTCCCACATTTAAACTCCTTCCGCAGACCCTCCCGGTGCCATCTAATCTAGGCTCCTCTTCGACACCCTCCGCATCTTGCCCTGACAGTTCCAATAATCGCTGTAGTACAGCGCGAGTCTGTTCTGGTACGACTCATACGTTCTCGTCGTCGCCCGTCGCCGTCCTTTCTCACCATCACTTCTTCTTGTAATGCTTCTTCTCGCTTCCATTCTCTGCCTAGGTTCTGCTAAAGTTAAACGCATGTGGGGTTATCCGGTCCTTTAATTAAGCCCTACTGGTAACTAGCAGCTGGCGAGACAGCTTTGACAGCCTGGCACTTTGAACGCTGATGTCAGACATTGACCTCAAGGTCAAGAGTGACGTCCACCCACCTTGCACTGCAGCTTGGAGGGATGATCCACGCTATGTTCAGAGGCGCACCTTCAACTCCCTACAAAACTTGTCATCCTACACAGTACACATCTTGAGGCATGGCACAGTCTGTTCCACAGGGGGCCTGGGGTTTCTGTGGTGCCTGAGCATGTTCGCAGAATCTGACTGGCTTTCAGTGTTTTTCGGCAACGACAAATTGGAGGCAAAGCTGCAACATTGACCCTGACTTGCTCAATTGCAGGTTTGATTGCGGAGCATTGATCAGCCAGATATCTCGGATGGCGTCTGGCATGCAAAGTGGAGCTATGGAGCACAAGCTGTCACGGCTGTTCTGCTTGAGAGCGTCGCTTTCAAGGCTTTCTCAGCACAAGCGGCGATGTTTAATCCGTCTGCCCGGCATCATGTAGACGCCAAGCGGCAATGTGGACGGTCCTGCGTATCTCTTCAAAGGTGAAAGACATTCCTTGATGCGTGGGCAATTTCTGAGGCCCTAATGGTGACTGCAAATGCCTGCAGCATCGCAGTGATCGTGTTGCTGGCTCGCAGATATGATGTTGTGCTGTATTCGGCCTCTTTGCTTGGCCTTTGCGTGACATGCCGACATGCATGGTCCGCTCACTTCTGCTTGTACAGGTTCATCATTTTAGGACGTAGCATGTATCCTAGGGTCAATCATAGGTACCTAGATACCGAGTTTGCAAACAGCTGCGAAGGAAGAAAGACTGTCCACATCCTATCATATAAGTGTACATACCAATTCTGAGTAGTGCTTGCGTACTGGCTTGAGCTTTCACAAGGACAAATGCCTGCTTAGCACATTGAACAAGTCCTAATGTTTGCAGCGCTGGGATTGCTTTTGATGAGCCCTTGGCAGACTAGCATGCTGCGGGAGAGATGCATCTCTGGCCTAGGTTCGTGACGGGCTATGAGAATCTTGTCAGGCAAGCTGAAGCCGCACCACACATGATCAGTACAGCTTGATGTTCCCAACGTTCAAGCCTCTGAGCCTGAACATTTTTCTTGTTGATAGCGACCAGTTGCGGGAGTCGCGGAGGAATAGCAAAGCCAACCCCTTGACTGAGCAAAACATGCAGCAGGGTGGCTCAAAATTTGCCACCCAGGAAGTACGTCATCATCGCTGCTATTGGGGCAGCTCGGCCTCATTGATGAATAATGGGAAAACCACGAGTTTGCAATTAGATGCTGTGGGTCTTTGTGTACGTAAAAACGGGTTCGTGCTGTCCTAATGAGAACCATAGATGTAGAAAAAGATGT